GATTAAAGAACATAAGAAAGAACAAATAATTGAAGAAGTGACGTCTTTCATTCCAATTCCACACCAGGAAAGCTCATGTTGAGATGCGTGAAAAGTCTCTATATCATAAGGGCTAAAGCTATGATCTGAGCTATGCATTTTATAGGTTTGGTTTGCACAAAGATGTCAAACTAACTGGATGGAAGAGAGAAATATATAAACTATACGGGAAATATTGCAAGAAATAATTACATTATTCTTTTTAATTCTATGTATTTTATCCTTATAATCCCAGCAGAATCAACCTGTGATTTAAGAACTTGTAACAAATGGTTTTAGTTTAAGGTTTTATACATACATACATGAATTTAAGGCCTAATTGCAACTTTTAATTTAGGTGGTAAATAACAGGTATAACTGAGTTCTACTGAGATCATAGATTTTATATACAAGATCCAACAGGAAATGTGTGCTGGTTACCAGGATTTAGAGATAGCTTAAATGGCACTGCGCACGCATCAGTATATATATATATATATATATATATATATATATATATATATATATATATATATATCTTTTTATTTCAACTCTATAAACACACCATGTTTAAGTCTTAACAGTGTATGCTGATAACACTCTAAAGTCTGATGTGCGATCTGTTAAAAATCTGCAACAAGGCTCTCTTCACTTTGACATACAGCAGCTTTTATTTTCTGTATCTTTGCTTAAAAAAAATGAAAAATCCTGGAGAACAATGAGGTGTGTCCAAGAAAAGAAGATGCGGTTCTCCTTGTGTGTCCCCTCCCTCCTGACCATCTGCTATACTGACTGCTGTGTGTGCGGATGCTGCTGAAGGTAACAGTATCCACCAGGGCAGTGGCTCAGAGTGACCCCTGTAGCCTCACATGGGTTGAAATAAGATAAAGCCCTGGCAGTAGCGGAAATTATAAAGGCTGTTCCTGCTGTTGACCGAGAAGGGAAACACAAGCAATTCCTCCCAAATGTCATTCCTCAATAACAGGGGACTTCTCGAATTGAAGTGGTCAGTAAGTGTTTGCTTTAACTAAAAGATCACATTTTAAGCTGTCCTCGATGTATACTTCGTAAGAGGTGCTAGGATTGCACAGCTTGCATGATTTCCTTACACAAAGAAATGATGCAGCTGGTTGCACTCCACACCCTGATTCAGTGAAAGGAGGAAGGAAACCCTAGTCATGTCAGTGTGTAAACAAAGACAGGGTCATTAAAGGATATACTGTATTTGGTGGAAAACATGTCCCAGAGATTTGTGTAAATATTCTGGAAGGATTCATTTCTCTATAGATGAATAAAATGAGTAATTTCCATCAGTACTTCTGCTGCAGGGTTTACTTCTGCTGCATCATACGTCTAGTTGATAAGAAAAACAAAACAGAAAAAAACGTCATGGCTGATTTTTGTATTTAAGCATCACTACAGTTGATCACTCGTCCGTTACGTCTAAATTTATGAGCGGGAAAGTTGTGTAATGTTTGATTAGTTTTTATAACGGTAGTTTGTCAAACAAAAGCTCCATTTCTCCAAATCAGTTCCATCATAAAACATGCAAAGGTTTCCCATGACTTCATGACCGTTTAGAGTCTTCCACATCCCTGATGTGAACTTTTCTTTCAAAAGAATAATAAATTAGGTCTATTACCAAGAACAAAGCAATGCAGAAGGGCTGCAGAGTAAACAACACGTATTTAAAAAAAATAATGCTTACTATATCCGTTAGAGACCCTTATTAAAAAAGGCACCAATCAAAGGTTTTCAGTCTAAAATCAATTTGAGCCTTTTTTTGTTTTTGTTTTGTGCCATTTACCTGCAACCTGCTATTATGAAAAGTATTTTTTAAATTGTTTTCAGATCATCACTCTTCCTCCCTGTTCCTCCTGCCTGCCTTTCCCCCACTATGAGCTTCAGGACATTCAGTTGTTCTGCAGCTCACCTCAGGAATTCACCACTTTACCAAACACCATCTACCTCTCATGTTCATGTTCAAACCTTAGGCCCCATCTCTTTAGAGTACCTCCCCCTTCTTAACTTATCCTAATGCATATTTTTTTTATTCATGTTCTTCTGTAGTGTTTAATTTTACCGCATGTTTGCTTTTAGCTGTCGAGCATCCTTGAACGTCCTGGCAACTCTAAATAAAAAGCATCATAATTGCCATTTTTACAGAACTTCACTCAATGTGTATACAAGAAAACTATGTTTTTTTTATTACTATTTATATACCAAAAATGTAAAAGTTACAAGTTTTGGTATGATTAAATAACAATAAAAAAAATAAAAATCTAAACTTCTTCGTAAGAAAATAGCTTCCTGGTAACAGGCCTGTATAATATTGAAAACATACAGTTAACACCTGCCAGCTCTACTGTCGCTACAAGCATGCTTAGTGTGAGGGATTGCATTTGAGTCAATGAGTCGATGCAATCAACTAGTTTTCCTTAGATAGAAAACTTTGAATTAGTTTGACTGTATGATCTGGTGAACTATTAAGTGTCTTGAGATGACTTGTGTTGTGAATTGGCACTGTAGAAATAAACTGAGTTGAACTGAATAAGAAATAAACCTTTTCCGCTGATGAACAAATTGGGTTGGGCCGGTTGACGGTATCAAGGTATGTCCAGATTTGAAAAGTTTTCAGTGATGCACTTATCAAATATTAAAAATCTGTATGGGTCCCAATATTGAAGAAAATTCTAGATTGGGTATTGGTAAAAATGGGCCTGATAACTAGGGGTAGATGTATTCAGTCCATTATAAAAACTGTTTATTGTATTCATCATTATCAAGACATTTCTTTAATCATAATATATATTAATTGTCACACAGTAAATAAAGATCTAAAATTGCTGAAATGACAGATTAATATTGACTTTTTTTTATTTTCACTGCTGTGTCAGAACACAGATCAATGCATTTTAATGTGCCTAAAGTGTGCAGTTAAGTGATTAAAATCCCATTTCTTTATGTCTCTGTCCTGAAGAAGCCTATTCTAAATGCAGTATTTCTTATTGATGAGGGCATTATCATTGTGCCTACAGTTTCCTTTATTGATATCATGCTAGAACAACAAAATATCATAATCAGTTTCATTTCATATAACATGCTGCACACTACTGGTCAGCTTGCTAAAAAGGGTCGATGTAAGCAGCAGGCTTCAGGCTAGCTGCTCGAATGAAGATCCCATGATTCTAATATCAGCTAATCTCTAAAGAGTGGAACCAACTTACAGACTGATAATGAATTTAGTTGGGTGTTATGTCTCTTTATGATAATAATAGGTCTACATTATTAGAAATAAAACATTTTATATTTAAACAGCAGTTGAAATGACTGTAACTTTTCATTTTAATTCTTTGTGTTATCACAATGAAATCATTGTACTTTTTTATAACCCTGTGATCATACTGGCCCCTTTCCAGTAATCAGCTAATAAATAGAATGCAAGCAATACACAAACTCAATTTAATATCTGGAGGTTCCTGACCTTAGAGGGAAAGACATGGAAGTCATCATTTAGCCTCTTAGTTTCATTTACTTAAGCAGAAAGTGTCACAGATTCAATCCTGGAGAACCTGCCATGCATGGAAGATGCACAACTTCTCTGGTTTAGGTACTCGTCTGTCTAATGACTAAGACTGCAGTCTTTGCTGTATCACGACCCGGACAGTGAGTCAGCACTCTGACCCTGCAATTCTCCCCACACTCAGCTACAGACAAAGATTTATCATGGGACGCAGACAAACATTCATATTCCTGACACTAAACAGGCTCCTCCTCCTTCCCTGCCCTACCTCTCCCTCACACCAGCATCACAGAGTCGTGACTGAGGGCGATTCTGTCCTCTTAATATGCACAGACAACTCAGGATCCCACTGGTACGTCGGCAGACAAACCCCCCCGCCGGCGCTTACAGACTGCACGCTCTACTAGTGTGTATGCTTGCTGCTTCAGTGAGAGAGCATCCTCCTGTAAGGCGAGGAGCAGCGTGTTCACCTGGAGTGCTCCTGGAGCGAGCCTACATTACCCAGAAACCCGCTGTCTGTTGTGTTTCCATGTCACTTCCTGCTTGGCAGCTCCTGCTGCACATTCCTAGACACCATCACAGAGTGAAGTGGATGATGTTCATTGGCCTAAAAGACTGGAAATCCCCCCATTCCCCAACACACACATATTTAATCACATACAGCCAGATCCGAGGCTGGAGGGATCGCCACCATCTACGGACACACAAACCAACACACACATGCTTTTTTACGCTATAAAAATCAACAAATAAAAATACATCTTCGGGTGGTGATGCTGACATCACACAGTTAACATCTAAATATTTCAGCTGATTCTGGATCAGATTCACCTGTTGCAACCATCATGGGAACGTCTGAGAACAGGGAAGTACCATTCCTGACCGTTACACTGTCTTTCGCTCGTTTGGTTTGTAAACAGGATGTGTTGTCACAGTCCTTTCTACACTTTAACTGCTCCCGCCGCCCCGTGTCATAAGACCGTCAGCGGCGCTGTTCAGGACATCCCCTTACCTGGATTCACACGCTGCGTGGTGAAAAACCCACTTCAGAGGGCAGAACCAACTGGATTTCACAGCAGCACCCTAGCATGACACAACACTGCGACGCCGGCAATGTCACCACGGGGATCTGTTGGATGTTACTACACTAACACACACACATGCATGCACATTCTCCCAGCTTTTCAGACATAATCTGACTGTATAAAATAGGGATTTAGCAAGCTAGCAGTCAGTCAGGCTTACGGCACAGAGACACATGACTAACGCAAACACACGCAGGGTACACTAGGTGATCAGAAATCCATGTGATCACACACACACACAGTCAGTGGCGAGGAATGAGATTCTCCCGGCCGGTACATGTGGGCCGGCACGGCCGAAGCCCCTGGTCTAGACCGGGAGGACTGAGACAAGAAGCGCAGAGGAGGGGAGCGGATGGGGATCTGGATGTACTCACCCCTTTTCTGGAGCCATCCCTCTCTAACGATGGTGACATCGCTCATGGTTCCTTCACGCCGAGTCTGATGCCGTTACACGCCTGCTCCACACAGCCAGAGAGGGAGGGGAGGGAGGGGAGGAGAGGAGAAAGAGAGGGAGAAGAGGAGGAGGGGGGGGGGGGGGCGGCTCTCCCAGTCTCCGCGTCACTCTCCCTCCCTTTCTTCCTTCCTTTCCCGTTCACCCTCTAACTCACGCAGCGTCTCTCTCGCCGTCTGACACAAACACACAGACGCACATAAACCAGCGGCGTGGACGTCTCAGTGTGTGTTTGCTTCCTGTCGTGGCTTATCTCCCTCTATTCTTCGTCTTCTCCTCCTCCTCCACCTCCTCTTCCTCTCACGTTCCCTCTCCAGACCTTTCTCCTCACCAGTAGTGACTCGGCCTGGAAGGAAGTGAAAGAAGAAAAAACAAACATGAAATAAAAAAAAGAAGCTTGAAGCTCTTTCACAATATCTGACAAGACAAACAACTTGTTATTGAGAGGACGAAACCTTCCTCTAAACCCCCCCCGCCCAGCAATACACCCGGTTCCTGTTTCTATTACCAACACACTCTCTGATAAACAGGATGAAATATTGCAGAGCCCTTTCTGAGGCAAAAACTGACCTTGATTTCCAAGCTGATATCACCAAGCACCACCTCTCATTCATTCAAAGATTCATTTCTATATATATTTTTTCTCAGCACTGAGCAGACACACAGAGCATGAAAAGCAACCCTCCCTTCTTGGTTTATGTGACTCTACATAAAAAAAAAAAGTGAGTCGATGAGTGGATCTGGGAATTGTCTTGTCTGTATTCGAGGAGCGGGGGAGATCATCTCAGGACCGTGGAGTACAGCCCGGTTAAAAATAGCATCCACGGCAGTTAGGGATGCTCTCTCTCGCACTCTTTCTCTCTGCGAATCTCGGCACTTCTCTACTGTCTCCCACCCCCGCCCCTCTCCCTCTCTGACGTGGTTCACCTCAAATGCACCCTACTACGCGGCACGACGCTCAGCAGCACTGCCGCCTGAATGGAGAGCTGCGGTTAGCGCAGCCGGCGTAGTCGTGTAGATGGGAATCAGTATTCACATCAGCCTCTGTCTGCGCTGCCACAGACATCTGGAGGGACTGCAGCGTCAGGCCAAGGCAGGAACACACCCACAGACACCTACACCTTTTTTTTACGTTGAGGTAGCAGAATCGTGACTGCTAGTAATCCTCAGTCATGATGCTTTCATAACCAGATTTTGAGGATTTTGTATTCCATAGAAAAAACACATATTCTATGGTATTTACATGAGTGTGGTTAATGCTGCTTCTCATGTGACATGGATGTCATAGGAACATAGTTCCTATATATATATATATATATATTCATTTATTTTTCTCTAAAAGTTGAGCCTTACAACAACAGAAAATTGTTGCACTCTTTGGTAAAACAGTTTTTCACATAATGAACTTTTCCATACTGATTCAAAAACACAAACTCCTAATATTTTAACTGGTTCCAGGTTTATAAGTTAAAATATCAGAACAAGCTCATCCAGATTGAACTAAGTGCGTCTGGGAAGCCATTGAACTACTTCTTTCAAGTTTAACTACAGATTGTCAATCAGATTGACTCCCAGACTTCGACTGGGCCATTTTCCTACATGAATGTGGTTTGATCTAAACCACTGCTTGCATGTTTGGTATGAATGTCTTCCTTCTGGAAGGCGAACATCCTCTCCAGGGGAAGATGGTACACATTCCATTTTTTTTTTCATCCACCCATCAACCTGCTTCCATGCTCCTGCAGCAAGAAGCTGCCAGCCATTTATGATTTTGGTTAATTAAGGGTAAAGGGTCATGTTAGCTGCCTTCCATCAGTTATCATGACCAGAGCATCTCCTTCCGCATGTCTGCCACATCCCACTTTCTGTCTGTTTCAAGACACTCCCCTCAAATTGTTGCGCCAGTCCAATATTTCTATGTAGCACCTTCGTACAGAATCGGAGCGTTCTGCTCAGCCTCATTCACTTGTTGTACTAAATGCATAATTTCTGAAGCCAATTGGTTGCCATATATTTTTATTTACAAATTCACATAACACATTTTTTATTGAAAAAAATAAATAAATAAAAAAAATACATTGTTTTCTGTTCAGCTCACACTGATGTTTGTAGTTTTGTGATGTAAGGGTTCTAAATACCTTTGTGAAAGGATATTAACTATCACATTTGAAGCATGTGATGCTATGAAAGAAAGAGAATCAATCATATGTGGTATTAAAGCAAAGACTTTGGCCCCACAAACTTTTTAAAACTATTTAACCTGTAGACTTCAACATTTATTGCAGATAAAAATATGAAAGTGAAGTATTGGTAGATTCTTTAGGCTTTAATTCCTTCGGGAAGAAGCTTCAAGGGTAAATCCATTAGTGCAATCCTCTTTTCAGGTCACAGGAGAACTCCTTGCCTCTTCTTACCTCAGAACAATTTTCTTAAAACCAATCAGTGGCCTCATATGAACTTGGGCAGAACTCGATCAACAGTAAGGAATCCACCATCATTTTAAAACAAAGGCCAATTGGACGGGACACATTGTTACATTAGGCACACAGAAGATGTGTGTTTCAAAGGCATTAATTGCGTGGATCTGAAGCACAATAAAAGCACTTCCAATGTAATCAATGTAGCTTCCTGGAGCAGAGATGAGTCTAATTCCTGACGTTTGGGAGATGTTATCCCACACTGACCAATCAGTGCTACCCAAACACTAATGGAGGAGACTCAACTCTTTCACATTGATTGATTGATTGATTGACTTTATTGATCTCACATTGGAGAAATGTACTTGTTACATCAGCTCAAATAGTCAAAGAAGAAGAATGTGCCAAAGGAAGAAAAAGGTGCATGGGATATATACAGTATGCGTCCACATGTGACAGCTTTTTTTTTTTTCATATACCTTTTCTGGTACTTCTCTGGTGGATATGGAAGATCTAGAAAGAACATTTCAGGTTTTCTACGTTGGACCAATCACAGGTTGCAACCATAAGATTCTATTACTTTATTCATTAAGATTGCATAGATGATGGCCTGACTTTGAATGTTCTTAGAAAATGACATAAAAATGCAATCCTAACTTTAAATAATATGTCAAAGCAAAATTTGTCACCTTGGGGTGAGCTCACACTGATTACGGTGGGGCTGCTGTGTTCCCCAGGTCCTTACATACTGCTAACCTAATATATTTAAGCCGGGCATATATATATATTTTTTCAATCGTTGCACGCAGCTATGGCTCAAACTGTGCGGCGAAACCGCAGGGTTTAAAAGTTCACAGCTCACGATGTATGTTCTTCCACTGTGCGGCCCCGTGCTCTGATGCGATCAAACTGCTCACACTGCACGTCCAAAAACCGCATGTCGGACTCAGCGTGGAGAGATGGCGCAGGTCAGAATGGCTAATCTGGATGAGGAAGAACTCCATTGTTTGCATCAGACTGTTGAAACTCTAACCAAGGCGCTGCATCACACTTAAAAAAACATCATATTTGCACTACCAACGTGGCTGATTTTTTTAATAATACCTTTAAATAGAACATAACTCAATGTTCTACTGCATTTTGCAGCATATTTATTCATTTTTGCCCCATGACTTTAAACTAGTTTTCCCTTTCTCCTACACTGCTTACATTTTGATCACTGCTGCACTTTATAAATGGTAATGTTCCTTTCACTGTTGAAAAGCTGTATGCATCGAAATCTATTTTTGGCTTAAAGCATGTTGGGATTGGGATCTAGGTCATGAGATTCCAGGAATTGAATTGGAAAAACTTATGTTCATCATGGCACTATTATTCGCGTGAAGCACAATCTCAACTAATTTTTTTTATAAGATATCAAAAAACTCAGAAACAGTGACTAATGTTGGAGATATAATGGAAAGGTTGGAACTCTGGTGCATATGTTATACGAGTGTGACAAAACTAAAGACATGTGGAATGCGATAATTTTGTTTGTGAATAAGGTGTTGAGCACACATTTGGTCAAAAACCCTGCATTATGCCTGTTGGGATTACTTCCAGATAACAATAAAATGTCAAAACATCAAAAATCTTGGTGCTGTTCAGCTATGAAACCAGGGTGCAGGATAACTTTACACCACAAAAAAATCTCCCAGTCAGTCCACGTTTAAAGGAGAATTCCGGTTTTTAACACTTTTAGCCCATTTTCTGTAGTGTCCAGGATGAAATCGAATGATTGACACCAAAATTTTGACAATTGGTCCTGTCTCTGCTTTTTGGCTCATGCAGAATCACCCCCTGGCTGCTTCAGAATGGCTTCCATTGTGCATGTCCGATAATGTCCTTAAAACAACCTTAAACGTTCTTTTTTAAAAATATGCTACTCAACGGGTCGTCAGCGCTGTTCAATGACGTTCCAAAAAAAGTTTTGTGAAGAAAAAACGTTCCTGTAGTGTTTTATTTAGCATTTTGTAAATCCCATTGAGTTCTGTTGGAATAGTCAATATCCCTCCGCCACCGGAAACGGAAATGGGGAAAAGACTACACTTAGTTGTAGTCTTTTCGCTTCACTCTGTGTACTCCGACGTCGAGGTGCTAACGTCTCTGTTAAACACTTTAAAAAACTCTGAAAATGGAATACGAAAGGTGGATTCTTGATGAGGACATATTGGACTTTGAGTTTGACGGTAGAGGATACCGTTTTGAACCGGAATATACTGAGGAGGAGTATATAGAGACATTGTCGCCAACTAGTGGTCTGGAGTGTGCAACGCTTCAGATTCGAACGGGAAGCGGAAGTTTATAAGCGGTTGTGATGTATCGGAAAAAATAGTTCTGGGATTTACAAAATGCTAAATAAAACAAGACAGGAACGTTTTTTCTTCACGAAACTTTTTTTGGAACGTCATTGAACAGCGCTGACGACCCGGTGAGTAGCATATTTTAAAAAAAGAACGTTTAAGGTTGTTTTAAGGACATTATCGGACATGCACAATGGAAGCCATTCTGAAGCAGCCAGGGGGGGATTCTGCATGAGCCAAAAAGCAGAGACAGGACCAATTGTCAAAATTTTGGTGTCGATCATTCGATTTCATAACCTGACAACAGCCAGATGCATGTCTCGCTCCGCCCAGCTCCACTCACATACATCTGGGAACCCGCTCATTGAAAGTGATTTCCCCAACCGAATTTATGGTCTGTCCAATCAGGACGCAGGGTGGGTGTGTCCTGGAGTGGAGAAGAGACCGTGAGATTCCAACAACAATGGCGGCTCGCATTGAGGAAGCAAGCGTTAGCATTGATGCTGCTATTTCTTCTGTGTTGTCCAATCTATCTGATATTGTTTCATCAAAAGAACATCAGAGAACGGCTTTGAAGGCTTTTGTTG